GCTTCCCAGAGTGCTAGGATTACGGGCGTGAGCCACCGCGCCCTGCCAATAAATACCTTTTTAAATAACAGAATTTTAACTCTTAGCAAGCAAGAGATTGGAAGTTGATGGGAATGGGAGAATCAGGGATCTGTTTGTCACTAGCTTTTTTGGGACGCAGAGACGTAGGCCAACTATCAAACACCATAGTGTTTGACAGACTTCTTCATTCTAAAACCTCCTTCAGTCCCCAGCTTCCCTGTCTGAACAACTGCTCTAACTCATTTGATGAGCAAGGCAGGTTCCTGTGAATTGAGAAGGCTAAAGCCAAGTATAGTTTGGATTCAGATCAGATACTGCACAGAGAGTTGAGGTTGGGCCACGGTGAGGAAGAGAAGAAAATATCAAATGTTAACAGAGAGTATCCCCTAAAACTGAGTGCAAGCAGTACTACAGGATTTGGGCCAGCAGGGGTAAATGCAAGAGGCAGCTGTAAATAGAAAACATAAATGTAATAGGAAGTCTAGAAGGCATATCAAGAGCTTTCTACTTTTGGGAGCCCCTTCCAGAGACCCTTAGCCCCGCCTCATAGACTGGCCTCTGGGTGCTCAATCTGGCAATAACTGTGCTCCTAGATGGAAATTTTATGTTTTCAAGTACATTTAACATTATTGTAGTAAGTATATGATGATATTAACAGAGAATCCTCCTTTTTCTTTTATCTTAGAACAAAGTTATCTTTCTCTTAAAATTATTTCTATCTTGTATGATCAGGTTTCTGATGGTAAAATGTGCTGTGGGCATGCATCCTCATGATTAACAAAGGCATTTCCATGCATTTATTTTTCGTATTTATAGTAGGGGTTTATTTTTATTTGGACACATTTTTATTTAAGTCATATTTTCTGAAATATTACATATGAACATAGTAAAAAATCATTAACCAGTTAGCTCACATCACAGGTATGACTGGGGTCCTGCAAAACTAGCCTTATAGAAGGTTGGATTTTACATGGAAGAACAGACGGAAGGTTATGTATCATTTGCCCCAACCAATAATGTAGTTATTTTTTCAAGGTAAACTTTTAATAATTTAAAAAGTAACAAGAGCGATTGTAATTTTTAGATGTTCTTAAAACGTACATTTAATTTTGAAGTCATTCAGATTTTAGAGATGAGAAGCGTAGGAGCCCTGCATCAAGATCTGTGCCTTTATTGTCAGATTTTAGACTTTTAAACTCTATTTTGAAAAAATTTCAAACTTTGCAAGAATAGAACAATGAATTTGTACATACCCTTCACCCAGATTCACTAATTGTTAGCATTTTGCCCCATTTTCTTTTTCTTTCCTTCTCTTAATATGTGTGTGCACGTATATTATGTTTTCTTATTTTCTTTGCCTCCGAAGGACTAGGAATTCCCTTACATAACCAGAACTGCACTACCGTGATCGAATTAAGGAAATTTAAAAATTGATACAATATTATCTATAGACAGTATTCAAAATTGTCTAACTATGCCAATATTATTTACAGCATGCCATCTCGCCCTCATCTCCTTAAATCTGGATATTTCCTCAGATTTTTGTCTTTTTTTGATCTTTTATGATGGAGATCTTGGGAGAGGACAGGCCAGTTGTTCTGCAGAATGTCCCTCGCTTTGGCAATTTGGGTTTACCTGGCAGTTCTGCATTCTCACTCAGATTATGCGTCTTTGGGAGAGTTGCTACTGTGTAAGATAAGAGACGCTATGTCCTCTTGCATCATGCCAGGAAGCACCTGATGTCAGTTTGTCCCATTATTTTTTCGGTACTTCAGTTTATTATTCTCTAGAAGAGTATGTACGCTCTATTGTCTGAGATCAAATCCAGCTTACCTATGTCATAGTGGATATTTTTCTTCCAGCCCAGAAGTTGTTCCTCACTAAGATCTCTTTATTTTGTGAGTTCATAGATTTGGAGTATAAAAACAGATTGGAACTGGTAAACTAAATTAGCCCAGACATTTTATTAATATTAGTCTACTTAGGAGAAATAGGAGTAATTCTCAAATCCAGTCTGAAGAAATATATGTTTAACAAAGAAAAGTTAGTTCTTAGCTAAAAGAAGCTCCTCTATAAAAACATAATCTGTCATAGAATTCCTTTCATAGTAAGCTACCTGTTTTATTATATGTGATTCAATTTCTGTAAAAGAAACTGTTTTAAATTATAAATATTAAGGCGATATGTTAATTAGCTTGATTTAATCATTTCACTATATATGTGTGTGTATATATATCAAAACAGCACATTGTACACTGTAAATGTATACGATTTTTATTTGTCAGTTATACCTTAATAAAGCTGGGTGGGAGAAAGTCTGTTTTCATATATTTGACAAAGACATCTATTGTGTAACACATAAACATTGCACCATTTTGTGAGATTTAATGGTCTAGCCTAGGATTTGGTTTTTGACAACCAAAACGGTTGCCCTTTATGATGCCAATCTCAAAAATGTTAAGAATTTACCCCAAGCGTCTCTTAAGAAAGGGTTTTGGATTTATTGACCATGAATTTATCTTGAATCTTTATATTTTCATTTGTGCCGTTTGGGGAATAATGAGTTGCGTGTTCCACTTGTATTTAGGTATTATTCCTTTCTTCCTCCTTAATTCGGGGGTTACAAACTCAAACATCTAACATCTGAGTCAGAGAAGCAGTCTGAGTATAAGGACTGAAAATACGAGAGTGGACGTCCCAGTACCGGGAGAGCCACCTCAGCTTCGGCGTGTCACTGCCGTGTGGGACTGTGGGGCCAGAGTGGCCAAGATGTTCTCATTTTTCCCTAGGAGCCTCAAATCTGAACTTTTAAACATTGTGAATTCAGTAAAAACATATAAAAGACACTGCAGAAAATAGATATCTCATGGCTTGCTAGTTTATTTCTATCTGAAATATCTCTCGTTTACATTTCAAGTGTACGTTCTAGTTTCTAAGATTTTGGATGAATCCATAGTCCCCCTGATTCCCCACCTAGTAACTGTGACAACTTTTATCATATCATTCTTTCAGCTTTCCTCTTAACACACTGAAGACTATTTTAAAATTATTCTGTGATTATTACATAGAAACAGCTCCATGTGCTACATTATTTTATTGACCTTGACCCAAGGCACGCTAATATACGATAGTAAAATTACAAAATCAGTCCTTTCATCTATTGCTGTTATCAGTTGTTGTTCTTGAGGGTGAGTGGTAACTTCATGGTCGGAAGCCAACTCTTCTAACCTTCTCTCTGCAGCCGTCATTTCATCAAGCTGATAATGTCCGGGGAACCCGCCACCACGGGCTGGTGGAGAGGCCAGCCCGGAACCGCTTCCACCCCCTCCACCGAAGGTCTGGGGACAAGCCAGGACGACAAATATCCTTTTTTGCTGTCTGAGGGAAGTATGAGTTTTGAAATGTTTGGAAGGTTTTCAGGTTTATCTCCCCTGCATTCCCCTTTGGCCTCAGAATCTTCATTTTATGTGATGAACGGAAGCACTAAAAGTAAATGAGCTGCAAACTAGAGACATCTCTGCAGCCAGAATTTGGAAAGATCACTGTAGGTGTTTACTGTGTGAAAACATCGATAAAGTGCAGTTTAATGAAATAACTGAACATAAACACGTAGGTCAGCCCCATTGCAAGGTGTTCTCAGCATTTTCTTCAGAAATCAACAAAAGCAGAGTTAAACCTGACTTTGAATCAGGTTAGAGAGATTTAGTCTATCTAGCAAAAATGGATATACAGATACATGATTTATTTGCATTTCTGTTGATGTGCTGATCTGCTTTTGGAACTTACAGAAGAAATGTCATACCATTTTCTATTTGTGGAGTTTCAAACTCAATAAATGACAACTAATCTATAAATCTAGTATTTAGGAGAATCTTACGCAGTGATGCGTACTCACACCAAACTCTGCTGTGCTGTAGAAATTAAAGAAAAGGAGACGATGAATCTGTTTGACAGTTTTATGTAATCAGTACTTCCTAGGGGTGGGGGGGGCGTCGTGGGGGCAGGCGCTGTTGCCACTGTGTGACCAGCATTGTGCCAAGGGCTTTGGGGACACAGAACTGAGATGGGCTTTGTGGGAGAGGACGCAGAAGTGTGCCAGGAGGGCCTGTGTTCTCACTTCATCTTCTCGGCACTCAGGCGCAGGGGTGGAGGAAGGAGAAAGGCGGGGTGAGTCTCGGGCGGAGAGCTGAGTTCCTGGCAGTGATGGCAGAGCTGGCTTCACGAGCCTAGAAACCAGGAAGTGGGGGAGGGCACTCATGTTTGCGGAGCACCTACCCGTGCCAGGCACCGTGCTGGGTAATTTGTCCATCGTTTAGTCCTCAAGACTCACTGAATCCTTTATTTTTTTAACCCCCATTTTCTGATGAGGAAACTGAGTGTCAGAGTAACTTGACTCGCCCAAGATTCCACTGCTGTGGTTGTAGGGTTCTGGTCAGGCCTGTATTCCCGCCACCCGCCTCCCCGACGCTGTCCGTGTCCACGCAGTGGTGCGGGAGACGGCGTGTGGGGGCACGCAGGGGAAACCCTAACTTTTCTTGCTCTCATACTGCTTGCAGGTTTTAGTCTATGTGGCGGCAAGGACAATGACACCAGGGGCCGTTTATGTCCCCTCGCTCTCCCTCAGGGACACACCACATCTGGTCCACAGAGGTACCCTGGCTAGTTTTGTATATCATGTGGCCATTATGAGGGAAAGTAAAAATGGTAAATGATCTTGAGAACTCTTTTCTGGAATGTCTGATAACTTGAACACAGAATGAAAAAGGTACGAGGGAACTGAGGCGATTCTTCATGCATTTGCACGTGCGGGGGTGGGTAGCACAGCACGTCATTGTCCACATTGCTGGAATTTTCAAGCTAAATACTTAGAGTGTTTCTGTGCTTGATTTAACTATATATGTATGTATATATATTTAAATATATGTTTAATTTCTCAATTGCCTCTTTCTCCTGTCCATGCTCTCATGTCTATGTATGATACGTTATAATGTATATGTGTGTATATATGCGCATGTGTATATATGGCCATCTCAAATACTTTCTGAAGCAAGTACAGTCTAAATATACATGTATACACATAGCTTTATTAACCAAAGGAACAGAAGAGGAGGGAATTGAAGAAAAGAGAAAGAATATTAATTCCTTAAAAATTTTGTTAACTTGGCAGGGCGCGGTGGCTCACGCCTGTAATCCTAGCACTCTGGGAGGCCGAGGCGGGCGGATTGTTTGAGCTCAGGAGTTGGACACCAGCCTGAGCAAGAGCGAGACCCCGTCTCTACTAAAAATAGAAAGAAATTAATCGGAAAACTAAAAATATATAGAAAAAATTAGCCGGGCATGGTGGTGCACACCTGTAGTCCCAGCTACTCAGGAGACTGAGGCAGGAGGATCGCTTGAGCCCAGGAGTTTGAGGTTGCTATGAGCTAGGCTGACGCCACGGCACTCACTCTAGCCAGGGCAAAAGAGTAAGACTCTGTCTCAAAAAAAAAAAAAAATTTGTTAAGTGCCTGCTAGTGGTCTGACACCATTTCAGACACTGCAAGCACAGCGTGGCCCCTGCCCTTAAGCTGCTTGTAGTTCAGTGGGAGAGGCAGCTTAGTGGACAAGTGGCCACGGCACGGTGTGGCATCTGTGGCTGAGGTGTCGTGGGCCTGCATGAGCACATCAGAGGTGCGGCTTCAGCCAGTCTTGGGGAAACAGAGAAGGTGCCTTGGGCAGAATTTAAGGCGTGAAGGATAAGAAGTAATGGCATAACGTGTTCATTCCGCAGATATTTATAGAGCCCCTCTCTGTGCCAGGGGCTGACCCAAGCACTGGGGGCTTGGTGATGAATAAGGGAGACATAGTCCCTGCTTTCTTGAGTTTTCAGTCCTGTGGGAGAAGACAGAAAACAGGCAAAAAAGTAATTCAGGTGGTAGGTAGCAAGTGATATATAAGGGAGTAAAGTAGTTGGGAGGGTATGTTTCAGGCAGATGGAAGAGAATGTGCAAAGTCCCAGAAAGGGAGGCTATGCTGGGTGTTCAGGGGACCCTGTTTCTTTGCAGGTAGTGTATTATGGGGTCTAAGCTGACTCTGTACATGGGTCCACTTGTGCAAGCATCCACAAAGCTGGTCAAATCCTAAGGGAAGGAGAAGAAAAAACCAAATTAATATACAGATAAATTAAAGTTGCTCATCAGACAGTAGGAGTCTGAGTCTCTGATCATGAGCCGAGATCTGTGGTCTCCTCTTAAGCCCCTAACTGGGGTCCTGGGACTGGACATCTGCTGATTCAAAGAAAGTTCTTTAGCCCAGGGTTGCCCATGTATGAAGCAGTCTCTTCTGTGGAGTCAACGGACCATGAGCTCCTAGTGAAATATAAACATGGGAAGATTTTACATTGAAGGTGTTAATCTATTCACAAGAATTTGGAGGAGGAGGAGGGCTGTGATTCCATCTTTGCTTTCATGGCCTGCATCCTGTTGGTTGCAAAATAAGTCACTTAAAATTAATGCCTTGGACATTTAACCATTACCTTCTTAATGACTTTTCATCATTTGAAAGTATGAAAATGGGTTTGAATCTTTTTAGAACAAAAAGAAAAAAATGTATTCAGGACTCTCTTATTACAGCTGTTTCTTGGTTTGAGTGTTATTTTAGGATGGGCAAACTGGCTTAGACAAGGTTCAGTCCTATGATATAATCTCAAATAAAATGAACATTGTTCAACAAATATTCCAGCTTCCTCTCAGAGTGGGCAGCCACAACAAGCAGGGCTCTGGCGCAGAGATTCCTTCTGCAGTGGGAGGTCACACTGCAGAGAAGGCTAGTGCAGTGGGCTTGGCTGTTGGCACGGGCGAGCAAAGACCAGGGCACTGCCTGGCCAGGCCCCAGGCAGGCAGAGGAGAGGTGCCTCCAGAGCTTGCTCCTGGCTGGGGGCTTGGGCTCGAGCACTCGGAATAGAAGCTTCTCTGCCTTTCTGCAGCTGCCCGGTCTGTAGCAGCCCTTCTCACTCCTTAGTCAGGGCAGCAGGTGTGCCGTGTCCCAAACACCATCTTGTTGAATTTCTAAACTATTAATATAAATTTACAGCAAATGAAGAAGTACTTTCTCAAACCTGTAGGTAATACATTGGGAAACAGGGGACATGCTGAAGAATCATAGAAAATACCTTCTTCTAAAGGAGAAGTATTTTTTGAAAGGGAGAAAAACACGTTTAGAAAGTTTCCCAACAAAATTTCGAGTTAACTAGTATGAACAGGCATGAAGAGATGCCTTAACACCTGCCAGAGTTAGGAATGATTCTGTTCTCTGGGAGGGGCCTGGCTTTGATTCTTTTCATCACAATGAGATGAAAATTTTAGGACATTGGTTTATAGGACACTGTTTCTTTGAAATGCATGGCCTATTAAATATGAGAAACGCCACACTCTCTGTACCCTCTCGGAGCCTCACAGTGTGTATTAGCGCTCTGAGAAGCCCTGCAGTTAAGAAAGTTCTTATCTTTAATCCAGGGTTTCCAAAGTTTGTATGATCACAAAACCCAACTTTTTCTTAATACCCGTGTCATCTCGAAGGAGAAGGAAACATTGGTCTTTAGAGTTTTAAGGGAAAAATACTCTGACTGCAAAACTCCACGTGAATCTATTTGCCACTCATGTGCCGCGGGAAACAGGAAGATGCAAGCCTCAGACGGATCCCACCCACATGCCTCCCTTGAAATCCCACTGTAAGATGTGTTCTAGTGGGATGTAGTTGAGGAAAAGGGACAAGAAGAAGTACAGTGACAATAAAGACACGGCTGAGAAATCAGGAAGAACCCAACTGTGGCCAGTTTTCTGTATTAAATCTGACTCTGGAAAGCGTCTTGGTAGTTGGGTTCTATTAAGCAGACTCCGAGTCTACCTACCCCGCCAGCTGCATGGAAGGTCACAGGCCTGCCCCACAAACCGTGTCCCTGGCAGAACACAGAGTTCCAGAGGGTAGGAGAGAAAATGACCGGCCTCCAGGCTGCCTCTAGAAGGCAGTTCCTGAGCCCTGCCCAGGTGCACTTACCACATGGGGACAGGAAGCCAAGAGAAGAACCCTGGCCCTGCTCACCCCGCGCCAGTCAGGCAGCAGCACCAAAAAAAAAGAAAAAAGAAAAAAGAAACGAGACAGGGTGGAACTTGTTTTCAGCTTCTGTGGCTCAGTAACCCCACCCACTGGTAAATGGGCCAACAGATGTCCTCCCTTATCAACAGAAAGAGGAGCTGCTCCCCTTCCTCTGGGGAAGAGTAAGAGCTGTTCCCTCTAACACCCCAGAGTTGAGCGGAGTAGGACTCCCTGTTGATGGATGGAGGCAGTGACTCGAGGAGGAGGATTTTCTTCCACAGACCCACGGGGACACGGGGACAGAGGGAACAGGCTGGGATCACTCAGATCCTAACTCGAGCATCTAGGTGGACGGTGCCCTCATTCAATAAGATGGACCATAAGAAAAGGAACAGATGCGGGCAGGAGAGGGCGAGGGGTGATCAGTTAGATTTTAGGTGGAATTTGAGGTATCCGGGTACTTTAGGTGGAGAGCCCACCAGGCAGCTGGAAATACACACTTGGAGTTCACGAGACCTGTTGGGAACTGGCGGGATGGGTTTGCCAGTTACTGGACTGTGGGTGGTAGTTCGAGCCAAGGCAAGGGTCGGGTTGGCCAAGGTGAGGACGGGCTTCTCCTCCAGGGAGACAGGCCCTGGCCCAGAGGCTCCTAGGAAGCGCTTCCCAAAGCCTCTGCGCCCAAAGTCCCCAGCCTGCCCCTGCTCCCACTCTGCCTGGTGCCCCGTGGTGGTTCTGAGTCCTCCCTGTCCTGCCCCTCTGAGAGCAATGGGAGCAGATGGGGCTGAGGCTGTTCGGCCACAGGACCCCAGGGGACATCAGGAGGGAAGGAAAAGGAGGGGGAAATGGCCAAGGGGCTGAAAGGAGTGTGCGGAGGGATAAACAGAGGTCGGGACAGTGCGGGGACGGTTTTCAAACTCTAGTTTCTATTTCCTATTTCCGTCCATTGCAGCTACCTCTCCTTTGTTTATTCTTTTCGTTATCCCTCCTTTTGCGTTTTCTCCAACACTCCTTTGTAATGTGGAACATTCCTTGAGCCAAGGCTTAACTAATGAAGGAAGTAACAGAGGAGGGGCTGGTGTGGTTTGTTAGCAGCCCAGCGGCCTGTGCCTCCCTTCTGCCTATGCAGGCCCCCAGCGGGCAGCCAGCAACGTTTGTTGGATTAAATGGTAAATTCGGGTTTACAAACGAGGGCGTTTTCTCCGCCTGTAGGTTGTTCTGTAGGGCATGTCAGTGTTACCGCGTAATTAAAGCCACCTGAATGAAGTTTTCTGAAATCTTCGAAAGAACAAATAAACCTTTTCCGGTTTTCCTTGTGTTGCTTTTTTTTTTCTTTTGAGACAAAGTCTTGCTCTGTTGCCCGGGCTAGAGTGCCGTGGCATCAGCCTAGCTCACAGCAACCTCAAACTCCTGGGCTCAAGCGATCCTTCTGCCTCAGCCTCCCACGTAGCTGGGATTATGTGCTACCATGCCCGGCTAATTTTTTTTTTTATATATATATATTTTTAGTTGTCCAGATCATTTCTTTCTATTTTTTTTAGTAGAGACGGAGTCTCGCTCTTGCTCAGGCTGGTCTCGAACTCCTGACCTTGAGCAATCCACCCGCCTTGGCCTCCCAGAGTGCTAGGATTACAGGTGTGAGCCACCGCGCCCGGCCCCTTGTGTTGGTTTTAACTGTAAACTTATAAGTGGCTCTTTTTGTGCCCACAGTTCTTGGGTTTTAAAATATCCATTAAATTAGATGAGACAGTAAGAACCAAAAGAGCTCAGAGGTCCTATCTTTAACTTTTTTCTCAGTTTAATTATGCCGGAACTGTCAGGAATTTATCATATTTTCATGTTGCTAATACCCGGAAGGTTAAAATGCTAACTTATACCTCAGCGTTGAAACAAGCAACGTCTGACCGTTCTGTTGCTGTCACACCACTGCCTTCCACTCTGTTGCCAGCGCTGCGTGATTGGACTTAGTGACCGTAAAGACGGCAGCGTGCTGAGAAAAGTGGTAACTTCTGCTTCATGAAATTCAGCTTTTCTAGACATAGATCGCCAAACCCTGCAGAAGAGAGGAAGGCAGAGAAGCACAGGCTGTGAGACTGGACGTCTCTTCCCTGATGGCTTTGCCAGCTAGGACACTGCTGTGCTTCCTCTCTCACCCTGGTCTTCATCACCTCTTCCTCTTCGGTCCCCTCCCCGGTCTGTTCCAATCCACAATTCACATACTTTAAGCCTGATCATTAATGTTGAAGACATGGCTTCTCTTGAAAACGTCTCTTTTATTGTATTGATTCAGGGTCAGATTAAGAAATAAAATAATGAGACATGAAGGAAAACTAATCCGTAGAGGATGAGACTTGCAATCCTAATGCTCTCCTGAGGAAGAAAACGTTTCACTCTAAATCATCATGAACCCACGAGAGCCCACATTTCCCTGATTCCAGGTTCTGCGTTCACTGGAGATGCCCAGCCCAGACCCCTCCATCAAGCCTCCTGTTTCCTCCTGAGCCCAAGCAGATAATACCTTCTTTTGCAGTCGCCATCCTTCTTGCCAGGAAGCTCCGTGTTTTCTGTTTTTGAGGGCACTTGGTGTTGGCTCACTGTTTGCTGAGAGGCAGCATAGCTTAGCGGAGAGCTCCTGGCTTTGGAGTCAGAGAGCTGTGGGTTCGACCCCTGATCTGCCACGCCAGCGGCAGCAGATTTCTCAGCTCTTCTAGAACTGAGCCTTAGTTTCTTCAGCTGTAAAATGGGGGTAATATCATCTGCCTCCCAGGATTGTTAAGTTTAAATGACACTGTGAACTCACTTAGCACGGGCCTGGCATGTAGTAGGTGCTTAGATATTTTCACATTTTCCATTTTTAAATTTCTGTCTTTAGGTATCTTCTTTATTATTTCTACATTAAGAAATAAAGGTTTGGGATCAAAAGTATTATTGGTAACTGCCAAACTCATATCTCATCCAGTCAGTGATACAGGAGACAGAATGGGCGTGTTTTGGTGGGGGTGGTAGGAGGTGAGCCAGCCGTCAAGGAGGCCGTGCTCCCGTGGGAGGGGACGGGGGGGGGGGATGGCATTGGCACGGGGTTAGAGGCAGGAAATACAGCAGGTTTGTGGAACTCGGACGGCTGGAGTGAAGACAGGAGCAGAAGAGAGCACTGTAGCCAGATTGCAGAACACCGCAATTACCAAGCCAGTAAAGTTTGATTTTACTTTTTAGGCTGAGGAGAATCACTGAAGATTTTTTAGCAGGAGAATAATCTGATTATAGTCTTAAGAAGACTATTCTATGGATGCAGTTAACTAAATTAATGAAAGTAGTGCACACCTATAGTCCCAGCTACTCGGGAGGCTGAGGCAGGAGGATCGCTTGAGCCCTGGAGTTGGAGGCTGCAGTGAGCTATGACCGCACCACTGTACTCCAGCCTGGGCGACAGAGCAAGACCCTGTCTCCAAAAAACAAATAAATAATTAGTTAAAAAAAGAAAACGGCTATCCCGTGCTCAGTGTGTATAGCACAGCATGGCATTGGGTTCACCGTGCATCTGGAATATGTTCTAAGGCATGCTGTACCCAGGGAATGATATAGAATTTATGAAACAGCCCCTGACAACACCAGGACACTGGGAAGTGTATATTTCTCCACAAATCTAATGCAGTTCTTTTTGGGTTATAAGTACCAGGAGCCCACCTTAACTTGAGAAAAGGAAATTTACTGGCTTATGTCACTGGAAGCCCAAGGCTAGATCTAAGAGGTCATACAATAGCATTGAGACTGTGCCACTGCGGTGCCAGTCTGTGCTGACGTCACGTGGAGACAGGCTTTCTCTGATGGGAGACGCCAGGCTCACAGCCTCAGTCGGGCACTCCTTTTGTTCCTCTCAGAAACACTCTCCTTGGCCCTGCTTGTGTCACGATCCCAGCCCCGACTATTTCCAGGGGGATGAAGTCCCTTGACTAGAGTCCCCACCATGAGATAGCCTCACCAGGTCTGGAGTGGGAGTGGAGACGTTCTTGAAAACAAAAGATGCTGGGCAGGCACAAACAATGAGAAACATCCACATGAGTCATGCAGAGACCACACTGGTTAGAAGACAGAGGAGTAGACTGTCCTAGAGGAAGCTGATAAGAGAAAGCGTGGAGGAAGAGCTGTCTGGTGGAGAGATAAAGACAAGAGCCAAAGCCTCAGTCTAACGCTCTGTGAATCCACCTTCTTAATTCTGCTCCAGCTTTGTTAATTCTTACTTTTCCTTTATTCAAAATTCTACTTTGATGGTAGTACTTTTGGAGCCAATTACTCCTCGCAGGCCCTGGATGAGAGTTGGCCGAGGTAAGCCATATTTTAAAAGAGATGATGGACATGTGTTTTTTTCGATGGTTTCACTTTATTTTACCCACCTTGAATGTTGTTTTAGAAATTTATGATATAAAGCATAGAATCTTGTTTTCTCTTATAAAACTTAAGTCTGATTTCAGTACAGGGGTTAGGGGTTACCTGAGGCCAGGAGTTCGAGGCTGCAGTGTGCTATGATCACACCTGTGAATAGCCACTGCACTCCTGCCTGGGCAACATAGTGAGACCCCATCTCTAAAAAAAAAAACCAAAAAAACAAAAACTTAAGTCTTTCTATATATAACTACAAGCTTATATGAAAGTCTAAGATGAAAAATTATTTAAGTAAATCTAGATCTTCATATTTAAAACCAAATAGAAACAAATTTGTAATACATTTACCAACAGAATACTCTGGTTTGGTAGTCCTATGTCTGCGATAGGGAAGAATAAGTGCCTTTTCTCTGGGTGTCTTAGTGAGCCGCTGAAAGGAATGAAAGACTCTTGAAATGGTAATTTGCATGATATATTTGATCTAGGGTCTCTTTGAGTATTTTTGTACCCAGTATAGAAGATGACAGAATATAAAAATAACTGAAAAAGACTGCTGCATCCATTTGTGTTATCATTTTCAAACCACCGAGCCAGATTTAGGAGGCATTTGAAATGTACGTATCAAAAATATTTATCTCTCTGGGTTGAGATCTACTCTCCATCCACTCTCGGGAATCTGACTGAGTGCTTCCTATGAGTAATATGGCCTGGATCTCGGAGAGGAAATAAGGATGGTAACAGCAGCCTCTACCTCAAGTGGGTTTTCAGCTACCCTCAAGAATCTAGGGACCTGAGACTGTAGGATCAATACAATCTCTTATTTTAAATCAGAAAAAGGCATCTCCAAACTGATATTTTTCTTATGTATATCCAAGAAAAAAATGTCTTATGCTTTCCAGAGCACTGGGATTGGTCAGATTAATATTTTCATAACCTGGGTAGCTGTAGCAAGTATATTCCTCTTCATGGCCATCCATACAGGAATGCAAAATGTTTGCATCTGAGATTGCCAAGGGCTCCCCCAACGCACACTCAGAGTGCGTGATGAGGGGTAACTGTTTATGCGTCTGGAGTAAGACCTTACAGCCCCGGAGAAGAGTCAGTCATGGATTTGAACAGTTTCAAAAGGGATTCAAAGGGGCTTGTTTGCCTTTTCCTTGATTCCTTAACGCCTGCTAGTTAATCTTGTTCTTATGGATTTGTGCTTGATTTTATCCTGGAGATCAGAGATCAGAGGAACAATTAACAAGTTAGTAATGATGAGCACAATGAGTGCGGGCTTCTCAGGTTGTATGGGAGGCGGGTAGAGGAGCAGCGCTCACTCCAGGCCTCTCCTTTGCTCCCTGGGATTGAACTGCTTTCCCTTTTATGTTGTTCCTGTTCTCAAAGGCAGCAGCCTCCTTGGAAAGAAGAGAAGCACCCTGGGTTCCGGCTGACATCTGCACTTAACAGGTACGAGGGCTGTTTTGTAGCCGAAGTAGATGTTAAAGGAGACCGAGCAGTTTGATTGTCCTGATACTCTTTACATATCATCCGATTGTTAGAGTGTATTTATGTCCGTTGTGTTTATATGAAGTGTTAAAAAACCAACCCTACCAGTTATTGAGTGTCTACAGGGGACAGTACAGTACATGAGGTCTGGAGTGGGACTACCAGGGTTTGCCTCTCACTGTGTGACCTTGACCAGATTATTTAACTTCTGGATGCCTCAGTTTACTCATGTGAAAAATGGAAATAACTGTACCTGAATCATGGGATGGTTGTGAGGATTGAATAAGATAATACATGGTAAACACAAGTGTTCAGTAAACATCAACTTTTGTCATGATCTCTTTGGGCCAGACTCTAGGAGTGAGAGTTCTACCTACGTTATTTTTTTCAGTCCTGACAACACCCTACGAGAATGAGTATTATTTTCTGTTCTAAGAGTTAGATGACTTGTCCGGGACCCCTTAGCTGATATGTGAAGGAATTGGATTTATAGTGGGAAATGTTAACCATCCACAAAGGGAGGAGTTGCAAGAGGCCCCGTCCCCATCCTCGGCCTCAGTCCTCCCCAGTGCCCTGCTGGTCCTTTCTCCTCCAGCCGGTCTCCCCCAGGCCCACGACTGGCTGGATACAGTATCTCATCTGTAAATATTGCTAACAGTATAAGGCTGATGACCTTCTTACCTTTGAAAAAAACATAACCTTTGCACAGGTATCATGAAGCAAAGAAAAACAAAGAAAAAAAACATAACCACAATGCCATTATTACACTTAAAATTAAAAATAATTCCTTAATAAGATTTAATACCCAGTCTGTATTCAGATTTTCCCAGGCGTGTCTCTGCATTTGATTGGCAGTCTCTTGAATCTCTTTGAACGGATCAAGGGCTGGAATCTGAACCCAGTTCTCTCTGATTCCAGAGGCCACGCTCCTCCTGTTGCACCACATAGATTCTTCCGTTGCCACGTCCCTCATCTGAAGCCATGTGGCTTAATAGCCACCTGAGTCTCTCTCCTATAACAGACCACAATGTAGCATTGTAGGCTACTTTGAAGTTGCTCATAAGTCCTTTTTATGGCAGATAGTTTGACCCTCAGATGAGATAAATAAATAATCATCTCTTGGAGCCAAGGCTGTGTAAAAATTGGAGCTATCTGCAAGAATTTCAGAAATTGGCAAGGGCTCAGAGGTTCCTGAACTTTTAAGAGCACTTTACACTCTCAAAAAATCACTGAAGCCCTCAAAGAGTGTTTGTTTATGTGAGTATCTACCAATATTTATCTATTGATATTAGAAATTAAATGGAAAAAACTTTAAAACATACTTAATGCATTTTAAAATAGCAATAATAAGCATTTAACATAACTAATATCTTTTTAAAAAGAAACATAATTATATTTTCCAAAACGAAAACGCTTACTGCAAATGGTGGCATTGCTGTACCTTTCACCAATCTCCTGACAGCAGCTGGATCCTCTGCTCCTGCACCGTTCAGCCTCCATGTAGCTGCTGGGCGACCCCGCCTTGCTGGGAGGGTGCAAGAGTGAAAGGCAAAGGATGTTTTAGCATTATTTTGAAAATGGTCTTGACCTTGCATACCCCCCGAAAGGGCTTGAGAACCACTGCTCTGGGAACATTATTCTCAGATGAAGAAAACCTAGTGCAGCCACAGGTCGCACTGGTCCCAGCCGTCTTCTGACTTGCGAAGCGTAGTGAGGTCTCAGAGGGAAGCTGTGAATCCAAGGCCTGCCCTCTGGAAATGGATCACCCTGCCATCAGCTCCAAAGTGCAAGCCTGTAGAATACAAATTAAAGCCTTTTGGGATGTGGGCAATTCTCAGAGGCTGTTATGGATGTAAGGGACTTCAGGTAGGTCCTAAGCCCTCATTTTACGGGTGATTGTAAATCGGTTATTCTTGCCTTCTTTCCTGTTGGAGATGTTCAACACAGAATATTGTGCGTTCACTAAGGAAAAATGGATGTTCAGCCAGACTCTCTCCTCCCCTCCTTAGGACCAATTCCGATTCTGCTCTTCACACGAGTGCTCTGAGCACCAAGCCCCAGGACCCCTATGGAGGAGGGGGCCAGTCAGCCTGGCCTGCCCCATACATGGGTAAGACACACAGGCCCCCTGCCCACAGCGGCTGTGCTTTCTCCTTCTGTCCTGTGGGAACTGAGAGAGGAAAGCGTGAACGGCACACGCACCTCCCCGGCCGGCTGGTCTTCCGAGAAGCTCCGGCAGGGGAAGTGCGTATGTGTGCATGGCGCGGTTGGGATGGGTGCGGGGCGGCACGTGCCTCGCCCTGCTGCCCCCGTGGCACACTCTCCCTTGTTGGCATCTCTTGGCCCTTGCGCTTCCTTCTCCCCGCCGGCACGGGCCCTTTCCTGGGCCCTCACCATCTTCCACGCGGACTCTGACAATAACTTCCCAACTGCCCTCCTGCTTCCCAAAGTCTCATATCCCTTCAGTCCAATTTCATGTTGGGCTCTCTGCGGGTCCTCTTTTCCCACCCAGGATCGGAACAAACTGAGAACTAAAACCAGATGTAACAGACGGAGCTAAATATCACCTTTACTACTGATAAGACCAGGTCGAGGGAAGTGGCTTCTCTCTGTGGGTCCGTGGGCCTGTTACGACTGAACCCCAGAACGAGGCAGACTCCCGAGTGGCCCCCCAGGGAGGAGTAGTCAAGTGAGACTGGGACGGGCAGAGCAGAGCAGGTGACCGCGCCCGAGGGAAGGCACGCCCTGGGAGGAGGAGAGGGAGCTGGGTTGGAGCTGAACGTCGCCTGCTCAGTCATTCCCCCTCTGCTGGTCAGGTCACCATTCTGCCTCCCTTGGGCCAGCGTGAGTACAAGGGTGGGGAGAGGCCACGAGTGACCAGGAAGGGGAAGAGGCATACTCACGCCACCTCGCACCATCTGCTCCCAGAGTGAGCCCAGTCTCCCTTCCAAGTACTAACCAGACCCAACCCTGCTTAGCTGCTGAGATCAGACGCGATCAGGCGCGTTCAGGTTGGGATGTCCACAGACTGGACCCAAATCTGATCGTCTTACTCTCCTGCTTAAATCCCTCCATGCCACCTCCTTCCCTCTAGAAGAAAGAGTCCAATCTCCCGTTTTAGAACGACTCAAGCCCCGGATCTGGCCCCTGCCCGCCTCTCTCCCTTCTCTCCCCACTCCCCTGCCTCACTCCCCAAGTCGGTGTAGACCACTCTGAGTTCTCCTAGCGTTTCATCCTGTTCCCACCGCTTCCTCTCTTAGCTCACTCCCGGCCTTCTGGCCAGTCTCCTCTCGAGCCGCAAGCCTCAGCCTGTGTACCCACGTTTGTGGAGCTATCCTTGACCTTTCTCCTTCTCAGCTCAGAATTACTCGTGTCCTTCTAACATTGCAAATCTCCTACCTGCAGACAGCTGTCTTAGCACCTGTGCACTTGACTGCTTTTTACGTGGATGTGCTTTTCCTTCTCTGCCCGTGTAGATTCCTTGAAGGCAGCATGTTAAAGGTCTCATCCTCTCCAGCCCCAGCACCGTGCCTGGTACGCAGGAGCCCTCCCGGGTGGAGAGGGGGAAATCACACAGGGCCCGCGTGTACAGAGTGCTCGCCAGAGCACACTCTGGGTGCTGGCATTTAACCTGCATGTGAAGCGAGGTTGCCTCATTCAGACACCTTGCAAGCCTGCCTTTCTGGTGTTTATAATCTAGAAAGAACAACGACCTGGAATTATCCATTCCGTCTGCAGTTTCACTCTTATCCACAAGCAAGGGCTACGTGTTTGCTCTTGAAACAGGAATAAGTAAATCTTTGGCCAAGTTACCAGCTTTTATGGTTTTCTTTACTTTTTGGACTATTTAAAGTCTAAATAGTCTCTGTTCCTTCCAAGGAGAACATTCGTGGTCTTGTTTCCTTGCATATAGTGGGGATGGGATTTAATAATAATTGTTGCTATATTTGTTCCCTTGGTACAATTTAGAGAAGACTACGTTTGCCTAAATGATAGTTGGCTTGTAAAGTACGAGAGCTTTCAGAATTGGTTAGGGCCGTCTAGCCATGTTTCCACACATGGCAATAGGAGAGTAAAGTTGGCAGTGATGTTGGAATTGGAGATGGGTCCGCCGCGCACTGCTTAGAGGAGTGGTGTGTGGGAAGAGGGAGTAGTTTAGCTTCAGGACAGGTAGAGACGGGGATACATAAACGAAGCCTTAAAAAAGCAGAGGCTGTGATGGTGGGGGCGGCCTGTGAGCGCAGCTGGGCCTTCGTCCCCCTTGACGGGGAGGGGGCCGAGCGGACAGACTTTCACCCCAGAGCCCCTGCATTTCTGCCTCTGCTGTCCTTCATTCGCACTGTGCTCTGCCCAAAGCTTCCGCTTCTCTAAGAAAGGGCCAAAGGCCCAGAGAGAACAAGGGGATCACAGGCAATTTAAGGAGTTTCTGAGGCTCGCATGCAAAGAGAAAAAAGTAGCTGAAGAAAGTGATTACCTGAAATGAAGTATTCATGCTAAGAGTGCTTGTAGCCTCTGAGGGAAGAGGTGAGAAATGTCAGAAGGTACGAGGATGAATAAGAAAAACAAAAGAATATAAATATTGTTCCAGGTCAACAGAGAGATGAGAAAAGCTAGAAAGAAGGAAAGAAGTCCTGGAGCAGGGTTCCTGGATTGACCTGAGAATCTCGGTGGTCTCCTCTTCAAATCAGCAGTTAGAAATTGCTGGGTCACAATCTCTAACACCCACGGGATGTCCGAGCCGGGTGCCTGCTCCTGCAGTTGCCCCGCGAGTACAGCAGAACTCAGAAACACATCCTAATATGGACGTGTTTACATGGGAAAGCCAGTGTGTTTAAAATATTATCCAAGTCTCCAAGGATGGGAATTATTTCTGGAGAATTATATTTGTTGGTGGGAGCTATTTTAAATAGCTTCGTGTATTTTCCCCCTGTAATTCATTAAAGTTTTTCATTTTCTTTCCTTTTGGATTTTAAAAATATCAACTAGCTTTGCAAAAAGGTATTTCTTATTATAGGACCAACCAAATAAAGATTTAAAAAGTGATGGGAAAGTATAATTAAAGCCCAGAACTAGGTTCTATAGTGGCAGCAATAACTGTTCTTTGCCTGGGAATCCGTCCTGAGCATAGCGATGTAGCCCACTGTTTGTTGTTGTTGTGAGCAGATGATAAGAGAGCATCTGCTCGTAGCTTAACTGCGTAAGCAGTAAACTGGGATACATTCACGAACAGAGCTTTGTGTCCCAAGAACATAAAGCCATTAGTCTGATACATGTTTAGTAATTTTCATAATGGTTCTTGAGTTGCATGACAATTAGGCATGAATGTTGAGTAGTTGATATAAATGACAAAAATAAACTTCTATATAACCAAACAACATTTTAATAATATCTCTCTTGTTTAATTATCTAGACTCTATGAAGAGAAATGTTGACCATTTCCCTGACAGCACGTGCAGTTTAGTTATCTTTTCACACTTACATGTGGAGCACAAGGGCTCTCTGGGACATTTGCCCTGTCCCATAGCCTGGACCTGTCCCCAGCTCCCCTCCTCTCACTACCAGCGCGTGGAGGAAGAGGCTGGGGTGGTCCGTGCTCTTTCAGGGAGCAGTCGAGAGCTAAGGGCAGAAGACTGCGTGACAGTCACATCCCCACACCCAGGGCTGTAGAAGCTGAATATCCATCTTTGGGGACTACGGTCCTCAGCTCCTCCTCTCAGAGCCGGGGAGCGGGTATGGCTTGGACTTCAGTGGCCTTTCCACCTGCAAAAGAAGCTTTGACCAACAGAGTTAAGGAGAAGGCTTAAAACGCAAGCAACCCTGAAAGATGTAGGCCTGCTGATTGCGTGGATGGGGGCGAGGGGCCGCAGGAAGCACAGCGTCCCCGGTCTAAAGAAGGACAAAAAGAATGTCACCTGGGTGATGGCAGGAGGGCCCAGAAGGGGGAGGCAGAAACACCAGAGGCTTCTTTTAGGATATGCTCTAGCTAAGTGTCTCCTTGTCTTCCCCTCTACTTAGCAAATCCAGACCGTGCAAGGAGTTATTTCGGCTTTGCCCGGCGTGGGAGCCGTGGGAGCCGTAGAAGGAGCAGGGCCTCGGTGCCGCTCAGTGAGGAGAGGTCGGCCCTGGGTGGCTCTGAGGCTGCGAGGTTTCCTGGAACTCAAATGCAGCCTTGGTCATCGCTGTTCCTCCCCTGTGGGACTGATACCAGTTAGATTCCTCTGTTTCTAGATAGCCAGTCACAGCGCGTTCCTTTTTGTTTTTAACCCTTTGTTTATAGCGGTATCCTGTGATACTTTTTATCCGGTAGTAAAAGTCCAGGCTTGGCTATTTTGATTATACGTTAGCTTAGTTTTTGATGTTATCGCCACCACCATCCTTCTGGTCACCCACATGCAAAACCTGGCAGTTATATCTGGTCGCGCTCGTGCCCATGCCCCTCACCTCCGTTCAGTAGCCGAGCAGCGCGTCTCAAATCCGCCTCTGATCGTCTGTCCTCGCTGCCAGTATCCTACTTCGTCCTTCTTGGCTGGACCATTGTTTTAGTTTCTACTTGGTCTCCCTGCCACGAGGCTTTTCAATCCATCTCACCCTGTGTTGCAGAGCAGTCTCTCTGAAGCTTGGTTCGAATCACGTGACTTCTCTAACCAAAACCCTCTCTCCCCACATCGCGCCAGACTGCTGGTAGACTCGGTCAGTGTAGCCTGGTCTCCCACTCCTCCCATCCTGTGCCGCAGCCAGACGGCAGCACCCCCTGCCCCTGCTGAACGCACCGCACCGTCCCTCTCCTCCTCGTTCCTTGCCTGCCCCTCTGCTTCCTCCTCCCCTCCTCTCCCTCTTCCTTCTCCTGACCTGCACTGGGGCATCTCTTTCAGCCTCACTTCCAGGTGTCTAAATCCTCCCAGGTACAGCAAACTGGTTAGGGACATGGACATTCTGCAGGCACACGGCCAGAACTCTAGTCCCAGAACTTCCTAGCAGTCTGATCTTGGGGATAACAGCACCTACCTCACAGCAGTACCGTGAGGGCTACACGAGATCGTCTGTGTAAAGTACCCGGCACATAGTAAGTGAACAGTGACGTTGGCTGCCGTTAGCATTTTACCGTTACCCTTCAATGCCTAATGCAGGTGCCACCTCCTCCATGAAGCCTTCCTTCCCTTCCAGTCTCATGGAGAGGGTGGCACTAATGGGACATCACGTAGGGTGTCTGCCAGCCACCCAGGCAGTTTCATGTGATAGCCCTCAGTTGAGTCTCTATGTTCCAGGGACAGGTCAGCCTTAGTAATTACGCCAGGCGTGATTGGTGTCTTCATGACAGAGAGATGCTTTGACATACCAGACCAGATTGCTGTGTAAAACTTAGTCTTTAATTTTTAATAGGATCACTTTTTAGTGTTCAAGAATAGTCAAGTTCCCTGCCTTTTCCAAATAGGAGGGTCCCAGAAAAGCCACAGTGTAAGTCGGAAGCTTCTTTCCTCTTCCTTGGACAGTGCTGATTGCGGAGCCACAGCTTTTATCTCTCCGCCCCTCGCTTTCTCGCATCCTCCTGTTCACGTCACTGACTTCAGATGTGTTCAGTCACTGAGAAAGCTGCAGCCTGGTCCAGGACTCCCAAAGAGTGGGCCGAGGACCGCAATAGTCCCCTGAGATGGTGATTAAAAATGTACACTCGTTGGTCAGTTCTCACACCTTCTGGATCAAAATCTTTGAGGACTGGCCCCCACAGTCTACATTTTAACAAGCTCACCCAAGTAGTCTTTATGTGCACTGCAGCTAAGTTTTCAATAACTCACTTAGATTCTGTATCCACGGGCCTGGGAGAAATTCTTTGTGACTGTGCCTAGTTGATTGACCTCTTAGTGCTCCTGGCTCCACTAAAATTTTAATTCTTCTACCATGTTCTATCTTCTCACCTGGCCCCAGCTAGCACTTAGTGCAGGATCTTAATAAATATATGTTTAATGAATGGTTATTGGACATTTTGTTTAAATTTTATAGACTAATCAGGTTAACTTGTAGGTTCACCTTAGCCAGAAACTTATCTAAACTTTAAGCAAGCTATATTTAAAGGCTTAGACCTTAAAAATCTGTCCTGATTCCGTACTGAAAACTTATTTATTATATTTGATTGCTCCAAAGGGAATGGTAAGATATTACATTCTTGGCACAATTCTTTAGTTGTAGCTCAGAGCAATAGGAAATACTACACTTTGTCATCTGCAGTATAATTTATGAATAAAAAGTACTTCATTCAGCCAGAACTTATTCTAAGTCAAATTTTAAAAGCTTTATGAATATACCCTTTAAATTGATTTAGACTCCAGATATATTTACTTCTTAAAATAACTTGACTGTGCAAGAAATACATATATAACAACATACAGCATGGAGCTTCTGGTTTGTTCCTGGAGACACCAATGGTAAGTGTCAAACAGGGATGTGGACTTTTGGAGTTGCCTGCCCTCACCCTGATCATGAAGCATTTGTAAGAGTGTTCCGATCTATACTTCTTTACTTTGTGATTTGAATAGAGGTTCTCAGACTTTGTAAAAATTGTTTTTCTCTCAGGACAGAGATAGTAAGAAAATTTAAGACTGAGACAAGGAGACAATTTTAAAGGAAAAGAAAAGTAGATAGGAACCAACCGTAGACTCAAATTAGCTACATCTATTTTTACTATAAATGCTAAGGCACCTTGAATGAACATCAGTGTATCAAAGCTGCCTTAGAATTTTCAAAATTCTATTTTAAATCAGAAAGAGTTACTAATTCATGAATAAATGAAAATGAGAGCACCACATAAAAGTGTTTTTTTCCTTTCCCACCAGGTTTCTGTGACGGTGAGAATGATGGACACGGGGAAGGTATGAACTGGTTTTTCCTACCTGTTTTGGACTGAGGTGCTCACTGCAGTGCGCATGACCTTTCAGTAGCTTAACTAATTAATATTTATGTTGTCAGGCCTCCCCAAAATGCTGACAACTGCTGATTGGCTTACTTTTTAGAGAGCCTCTAGAAAATTAAGGCTAGCCATGATCAAGGCCATGAGAAAGGAAATGTGTGGATTACATTACAAAGGTTCCTTGTTATCCAAGTCCCCCCAGTCCCACGGTCACAAGGCTGTTCAAGGAAGCAAACGTTGTAATCACATGAAAATATGAATGAACTGATGATTTAAACAATCAGTTATTCCAGTATCCTTCCCTCCTCAACACTGTCTCTGCCCATTTAGAAAGTCTTTGTGAGTCAGTAATTGGCAGATATAAATAAACAAGGCAGGGAAAATGCAAATTGTTGAAAATTGAAACTGCAAATCTTGCAGAAGATGCTGAGTTTCATAAAGCCAATAAAATCATATTGGAGACCTGTGGAAATGACACTCAAAGCCATTGACAAAGGCGGGTCTGACACAGTTCATTTATTCCTTCAGTACCAGGCACTGTTTTCTTTTCTCTAAATCTTTATATGTCTGGAATTTAATTTTCAAAATCTGAAAATGAACAACTAAATTAGGTTTGTATGTCACAAAGATAAGACTCATGGAGGACACGACAAACGAAGAGCATCTGGCACCAGAAGCACAAGTCTCTGTTGTCATCCTGCATACTCCTTTTCTGGGCAAGCCGTTTCAGGCCATGAATAAAATCATGAAAAGTTAAAACATCAAGAAACATCTAATCCATTAGAACGGAAATAAAGAAGTGGCTTCAAGGTTGTTTGCATTCCCCAATGAATTCTTTAAAGAATTCCCAACAAATCTTGGGTGTGAAAAGAGACCGAAAACAATGGAAACTGTCCCCATTCAGGCACTGGAGTCTGCCCCAACCGTATTCTTATCCTCAGCCTCTGCTGAGGGGCAGCCTTGGGCTGTGAAGCCACCATACCCAGCCCTTGAAGCTTATCCTAGCATCCAGCAGTACCTTTCAGAGCAATTTTCTATTCTTGATCTCCCATTGTACCAGTTTATAAAGGCTCTCAAAGCCTATTTTTCTCATCCTCCAGTTTGTTGAGAGTCAGCTGTAGGGTCAGCATTTGCCAGGCACTATTTTAAGCACTCCCCAGCAGAGAATAAAACAAAACCTCCTCCCTCATGGAGCTTATGTTTCTGAGGTAGTTTATATCTATGATTAGACCAGGTAACATTTGAAGAAAAGAAAGCCTACGAGAATATTGACAAAATAAGCTCTTCAAAAGAGTGGTTTGAATATCAGGATTAAGAGAGACACCTGGGAACATTGATAAAGCCCGGACTATGTTAGCAGAAATGACACTGTTACGATGGTGCCGGGAAGGTTAGCTGTGAAGAGCGTCATATCATGCGTGCTCCTACCGTGCTGTCAGAGAAATTAGACCCCCATCCATACCTAATCCATTTAGGGGTTCACATTGCAATTATATCCTAAGTTGTTGTTGTTGTTTCAAAATATTAAGGGGGTACACATGTTTTTGTTACATGGATACCTTTTATAATGCTAAAGTTAGGGCTTTTATAATAGTATGCCCATCACCTAAATAGTGTTCATTGTGTCGAATAAGTAAGTTTTTACCCCTCTTCCTTCTCCCCTCCTCTCTTCTTGATTTCCAATGACCTTTACATCTCTTTGTGCTTGTGTGTGCCCATCAATTAGCTCCCAGTTATTAGAGAGGACATGTAGTGTTTGTTCTTCCATTCCTGAGATACTTCACTTAGGATAATGGTCTCCAGTTCCATCCAAGTTGCCGCAAAAGATGTTATTTCATTCCTTTTTATGGCGGAGTAGTACTCCATGGTCTATGTATACCACATTTTCTTAATCCACTCATGAATTGATGGGTACTTAGGTTGATCCCACATCTTTGCAGTTGTGAATTGTGCTGCAATAAACATTCGAGTGCACATGTCTTTTTGATAAAATGATTTCTTTTCCTTTGGGTAGATACCCCGTAATGAGGTTGCTGGGTAAAACAGTAAGTCTACATTTATTTCTTTGAGGAATCTCCATACTGTTGTCCATAGAGGTTGTACTAATTTGCAGTCCCGCCAACAGTGTATAAGTGTTCCTTTCTCTCTGCATCTATGCCAGCATCTGTTGTTTTTTGACTTTGTAATCATGGCCATCCTGACAGGGGTAAGGTGGTATCTCATTGTAGTTTTAATTTGTATTTCCCTGATGATTAGTGATGTTGAACATTTTTTCATGTTTCTTGGCCATTTCTCTATCTTCTTTTGAAAAACTTCTGTTTGTGTCTTTTGCCCTCTTTTTAATGGGGTTGTTTGGTTTGTTTGAGTTCTTTGTAGAGTCTGGATATTAACCGTTTGTTGGATGTATAGTTTGTGAATATTTTCTCTCATTCTGTAGGTTGTCTATTTACTCTGTTGATATTTCCTTCGCTGTGCAGAAGCTTTTTAATTTAATCAAGTTCCATTTATTTATTTTTGTTGTTGCTGTATTTGTCTTTGGGGTCTTAGTCATAAATTCTTTGCCTAGGATAATGTCTAGAAGAGTTTTTCTTATGTTGTCTTCTAGAATTTTTATTTTCATACCTTACATTTAAGTCTTTTATCCATCTTGAATTAATTTTTGTATATGGCAAGAGATAGGGGTCCTGTTTCATTCTTCTGCATGTGGCTATCCAATTTTCCCAGCACCATTTATTGAATAAGGCTTCCTTTCCCCAGTGTATGTTATTGTTTGCTTTGTCAAAGATCAGTTGGTTGTAGGTAGATGGTTTTATTTCTGGGTTTTCTATTCTGTTCCATTGGTCTATGTTTCTACTTTTATACCAGTACCATGCTATTTTGGTTACTATAACCTTGAAATATAATCTCAAGTTTGGTAATGTGATGCCTACAGATTTGTTCTTTTTGCTTAAGATTGCTTTGGCTATTCGTGCTCTTTTTTGGTTCCAAATGAAGCATAGAATTATTTTTTCTAGATCTGTGAAATACGACGTTGGTATTTTAATGGGGATTGTGTTGAATCTGTAAATCACTTTGGGCAGTATGGACGTTTTAACAAGGTTGATTCTATTAATACAATCCATGAGCATGAGATGTTTTTCCATTTGTGTCATCTATGATTTCTTTCATCAGTGTTTTATAGTTCTCCTTGTAGAGGTCTTTAACCTCCTTGGTTTACATCCTAAGTTTT